AGAAGTTATTCAGTGTGCCATGTTAGTAGACTCTGAACCTATAAGTACAGAGGAGGCTCTTAAGCAGAAGCTCTGGCTGAAGGCTATGAAAGAAGAACTTGATGCTATAGAGAGAAACAAGACTTGGAAGCTGACAGAACTTCCAAAAGACAAGAAAGCCATCAGCGTCAGATGGGTTTTCAAGCAGAAGTTAAAGCCAGATGGTTCAATTGGCAAACATAAAGCAAGGTTGGTAGCAAGAGGATTTCTACAGAAACCTGGGCTGGATTATTCTGAAGTGTTTGCACCTGTAGCAAGACATGAAACAATCAGAATGGTGATTGCAATAGCTGCTAACAGGAATTGGCCTCTGATGCATTTAGATGTAAAATCTGCATTTCTGAATGGTCCATTAGAAGAAGAAGTTTACGTGTCACAACCTCCTGGATTTGTGAAAAAAAATCAGGAAGGGATGGTGTACAGATTATACAAAGCTCTATATGGATTGAAACAAGCGCCCAGAGCTTGGAATCAGAAGATTGATTCATTTTTCAAGAAACAAGGCTTTCAGAAATGTGAGATGGAGTACGGTGTCTATGTTCAGCATACTTCTGAAGGCAATATGACTCTGGTATGTTTATATGTTGATGATATACTATTGACTGGAAGTTCTGAACATGAGATAGCCAAGTTCAAGAAGGTTCTAATGAATGAATTTGAAATGACTGATCTAGGCAAAATGACATACTTTCTAGGGATGGAGTTCAGATATTCTGAGAAAGGTATCATTTTACATCAGCTCAAGTATGAATTAGAACTTCTGAAGAGATTTGATCTGAAGAATTGTAAGATGGCTGTCACAGCTTCTGATACAAATCAGAAACTGGATTCAGACTCTGAAGGAAAGGATGTGGATGCTACAACCTTCAAACAGTTGGTTGGTTCTCTGAGGTATCTGTGCAATACCAGACCTGATATTTGCTACTCATTTGGGATGGTTAGTAGGTTCATGAGTAAACCTAAGTGGTCCCATTACCAAGCTGCTGTCAGGATTCTGAGGTATATCAAAGGAACTCTGAAGTATGGAGTGTTATTTCCCTCTGGAGGAAATAATGAGTTAGAACTTCTGAGTTATTCAGACTCTGATTGGTGTGGAGACAGAGTTGACAGAAGAAGTACATCTGGGTACTTGTTCAAATTTCTGGGAGGTCCCATTTCTTGGTGTTCCAAGAAGCAACCTGTTGTGGCGTTGTCAACCTGTGAAGCTGAATACATTGCAGGTGCTGTTACTGCATGCCAAGCTGTGTGGATTCTGAATCTGTTGCAGGATCTGAAGATTAAGGTAGACAAACCTCTGAAGTTGATGATTGACAACAAGTCTGCAATCAACCTTGCCAGAAACCCAGTGCTGCATGGGAGAAGCAAGCATATTGAGACCAAGTATCATTTTCTGAGACATCAAGTTCAGAGTGGAGTGTTAGAAGTTGTACACTGCAGCACTCAGAAGCAGTTGGCAGATGTTCTGACGAAAGCTATCAAGACTGATCAATTTCTCAGATTAAGGGATGGAATTGGTGTTACAAGTTTTGATGGAATATGAATTAAGGGATGGTATTAGTAATAATTCATATTTTATTATATTACTTTCTTAAGCCCATAAGTTTGTTAGAGGGTATTTTAGTATTTTATCTTATTCTAGTAACCCTAGTTTTAGCTTATAAATAGGGTGACAATCATTGTAACTCTTAATCCTGTTTCTTCTGCCGTCATTCTCTTTAATAGAATATTTCCCTATTTTCATTATTCTATCTTTGCACCAACAGTAAGCATGATTCTATTTTTATGTAGATTTAAATATTCTTCTTGAGTGAAAATGTGAAATAGTGTTGGCACATATCATATATTAGAAAAATTGCCAGTAGATTTACAAGAACATTGGGATGTTGCAACCTTTTTCCTGAAAAACATGTGATATTTCATTTGTACTGTCATATCTTTTATCCATATGTTATGGTTTTCTCCTTTTTGCATATTGGATTATGGATAGTTTTACGCGTTATGGAGGGGAAAAAACACATACTTTTACAACATGAAACGAAAAGCTGAAATCTACACGAAACAAGAAGTCTAAAACATTAAATCTAAATCCATAAGAACGAAGAATATAACAAGTACCATTGAAACTCACATGTTTGTCAACAACAAGCATTTCAAAATGCTCCTTTGTAGTAGAAGAAACCTTCTATTTGTGGTGAATTTTTATAGCCATCTTCCAAAACTCATTTTAATCATTGATGCTGTTTATCTGTTCGAATGGTCTTGCCGTGTTGAATGTTCACTGGTTAGAATTGCAGATGGCGTTTGAAACATTCAGGTTGAAGGTGCAGAAGAAAAAGGTGTGAAGATACTGAAGCTTGAAATTGATGAAATACAAAATATTTTTACCTAATACCTCTTCATATTGCAGTTGGCAATGAGAAGAAAAAGAATATGTGATGGAAGGAAGATATCTGTCAGAATAAAGAAGATATTGGAAAGAAAATATCTGATGCAAAAATGGGACATTTATCAGATATATGGTTCAGTGATAACCATTGTCATGCTATAGTTATGATTTTGGAAGAAAATACTCAATTTACCTTCCATTTGATGACATGTTACAAGATTATTATAAGAAGAAAGATTGTATTTTCTTTTGAAACAGTGTATTTTTATTTAGTGCACGGTTAATGTGCACTTTTTTAAAATAACCATATTTTCTTAAGGAAGAAAAAATCTACTTTTAAAATAGGCAATCTACTGACCTGCGATTGGAACGCAGATTCTTCCCCAACTCTGGAGGTTGTTCTGCTGCCGTTCCACCACCATATAATTGTAGGAAACAAATTTCAAAGGTTCTAGATTATATGATTCAATTCCACCAAAAATACAATTTTATATATACAACTAATTCCTTAGTATTAAGATAATTACAAATTCTCGAAGTTTTCAATCGTCTCAAAGATACTTTTATACGGACGACGACTCTATTTGGATGTATACTTGACATTTTAATTTGTTGAAAATTTCTTAAAACTCTCTATTTCTAATGCACCATGCAAATTTCAAAAATATTTTTTCATTTTCGAAATTTTCGGATGCACCTCTCACACACATTTCATTCGTTTTTAAGACACACCAAAATTTTATAAATAAAATTATTTTAGAAATACATTTTCGAAAATTTTCCGAAATATATTTCGGAAATCTCTTAAAATGAGCTAAGTACGTATTAATATTATGTGTTTATCTTCTTCAAATCTACATTAGTTACTATAAATAGTATAACAATAATATTTTTCAAATCTACATTAGTTACTATAAATAGTATAACAATAATATTTATAAAAAAAATGTACACATTCTATTTCCTAGTTAGATACAACAATAAACAAGAATGGATTAGAGGAGAAACTCTGATTGAATATGGAGGTATAGTAACTATAGGTTCACCACGTGATGCTGGAATTAAGGACCATGTTTTAAAAGTTGACACTCATTGAGAAGGAAAAAAAAAAAAGAGTTTGCAGAAAAATTAAATGGGTGGGGTTTTGGCTGTTAAGCATACAACATGAGATGCACTTTTTTTAAAATAAACTTCATGAGATTCTAGAAACATTCTAGAGATAAATTTCCAAAATAATTGTATTCGTAAAATTTGAGTTTGACTAAAAAACGAATAAAATGTATTTAAGAGAACGTCCCAAAATGCATCTCCAAAAGCAAAAAATATTTTTGAAAATTCAAATGGTGCATTAAAAACATATAGGGTGCTTAAGGAAATTCTCTAAATTGTTTCAATCCAAATCTTTTTGTAACCATCCAAGCCGAAGAGCTTTTTGGACAGCCCTAAGTCCATCTATCAACATATCGGGTGCTTAAAGAAATTCTCTAGATTGTTTAAATAGTAGAATATTCAAACCAGGAGCAGTCGGAATTGTTTCAATGTTAAACAAATAAAAAGTAAAATTCATATAATATGATTTATACTATTTCATGCAATCTATGAAACGCTAGTTTAGTTCATGCCCAGAAAGCCCCCAACAAATAACCATGGCAATACACCAAGAGTACAATGAGCAAAGCCTTTGTAGCAAATACGGTCTACTAAATAAAATTATTGAACATGGCAGTTAAAAATTGTTGGAAATCAAAGAATGTGGGGATCAAGAGAAAAAGGAACCACCTTGAGGGTTTCAAGATTGAAAGAGAATCTCAAAAAATCAGTGAAAAAAAGATAATGAGTAATAGATACAGTTATTCTTGCCAGCACTCGAAAGTGAATAGAGCAGGACATGTGGACTAAGTCATTTGGAAGCATTGGATTAAAGATCATAAAAAACTGACAATGAAAAGAGGTTTTGCCAATGGCGGCGGATGGAAGGTGGTTCTGGTTTGATGACGCAAGGTGGAAGGTATCACTCTAATACTCTAATACCATGTTGAAAATTAGAGGATAAGGTGATGAAGATGAAAAGGAAGCTTGAGAGTTTAATGATTGAGATAAAAAGCTCATAGGGAACCATATTGAAAAGATAATGAAAATGAGATACAATTGCTCTATTTAGAGCCTTATTGATCACCAACCAAGTGCAATAAACTTGTTAATGATATCTCACAAACTTAACATGCATCTAGATTTATTAATCCATTTCATCGGGAACAATAAATATCGTTAAAACTAATTCAGTACTTTGTCTCAGAAATGGCAAGTATAGAATTGTTCATGAAAAATATCAAAGAAATTTGCTCAAAAGCATCTTAATCCTAAAAATGAGATCTTCAGCGTTCATTCAGAAAACATGTAATTCCAAAAATTGTTTATCATTTAATACTCAAGAGATTGTAACTAACAATGCCTGCAAAATCTCTCCATGACCTTTCTATTAGCTGTATACATGTGTACATGAAGTGCATACTAATAAATATGCTTACCAACTAATAAATATGCTTACCAACTAATAAAGAAACGGAAAACTAAACTAAAAAGGGTTCCTTTTTAGTCCTTTCCTTTTTGAGACAGTTTTTGGGGTTGATTTCTGCCAAACATAAGACAAGAGACCAGGTTATTTCCAATCAAATATTAACAAGGAATCTAAGTCAATGAAAAGAATTATATACTTACAGATTTTGTTTTTTTGATCTTTCCCCTAATCCTGTTCTTTGGAGGTTTCAACTTGTATAACCGTACCATCCAATGATGGGTTGTGAACACCTGAATGCATTTAAAAGCGCAACTTACATCAGAAAACCAAAACATGCACTGAAAAGAATATTTTAAAGAATGATTACTGCAATGAATTATTATCTATTTGTTAGATTCTTCACTAATCCAACAAATGTCAACAAAATATGGACAAATAATATGGAATGGCAACAAAACTCAAGGCTTATTATATGTGGAATCTACAGTTTCTGTGGTCTTGCAATTTGGATAAACTATAATAGCTTCTTCAAATTTTCAAAGGGTAAACTTTGTATATATAACATTAAAATATGCTAGCATAAATAAACACTTGGTAAATTATCATATATTGTAGAACAGATGCCATGATTGGTTCAGTATGTGAATTCATCTTGCCACACACTAAGTATAAATTAATTTCATCATCATATATGAGATGCACAGCCAGACAAAACTCATAACAGATTCATTTAATATCACCCTCCCTTCCCAAGTGCACAGAGCAGACTAATATAAAATAATCTGACCTCTTCAAAGTGCGTAAGTTTGAAATATTTCTTTCCAATCTCTGTCCGCCTCACTCTGTCAAATGCTTTACCGTCTGTCTCCACAAATCTGCAAAGCAATATACAGGGTGGTTAAGCAGCCTAACGGTTGAAAACAGATAACTTTTTAATGCCAATTTTACAATGAAACTGACTGACCTGTAATATGAAAGTTTATACATGAGGGAGTTAAGCATTGTTGGTGTGGCCATAGAATCAATTCGATATTGGCCATCCCTCTTTTGAAGAAGTTGGAAAAAAAAGGGGGTTAACACTACTAATAAGCTGAGAAATTATTGAAAGCAGCTAGAGTATCGTCTGTTTTACAAAATCATATATCGATGCCTAGATTAAACAGCCAAAATTTTAGGTATGACTTACCAAGTAATCAGGTTCCTTTATGTGAGGGAATACACCCCCTCCAATACGAACCATCCACAGGAACTTGTTAATATCATCACTGGGATACCCCACCAATCCTAATAATAAGCATGGAGCAACAAATCAGAAGAGAATAACTTCAATTATCCAAATATGAAAAAAGAAGCTGACCTCCAAAGACAACAAGAACGTATTTGACATCCAAAGAGTGGAAAATTTCCCAAGCAGCCTTTTCTGGAGAAGACATTGCAGTACCAACAGTAGCAATATGCGTGTTATTCCAGGTATTGTTGTCAACAATAACAGTTCGGTTAGCCATGGCAGTTGTTTGATATCCGTAATCCCACCAAGATGCCACCTACATGAAATTTTTAGTAATAAAATTTAGCTTCTGTTTTTCTTTTAATTGGAAGTGGGGGAGTAATCTTATTCTTAGGGAGGATATCAATTTAGAAATTTAAGACATAAACTATCCATTTGACTTGAGTGATCAAATATACCATGGATCATTAAACAATGTTAAATATTACTAAATATTAAAGGATTGATAAGCCTACCTATGAAGTATCTTCCCACGAGTTCATAAATTTAAATATTCTGATAACTAGAACGCATCAAAGAGTGTAGTACTAGTGATTCAAATGTAATGATTGATAACCTCTACTCGTCAACTAGCCACACACAAAAATGAAAAAGGAATTAAAATGTCTGTGGGACCAATTGTTCTTTACAAGCTAGGGATTATGCCCCCAGTTAGTACAAAACACCAAGTAAATCATCTCCAGTCTAACGGCATTTCACAATCCACGATATCAAACTATTGAAAATACAAAATAGTGAAATTTCATCATCTGCAGCCTTAATGGCAACTAGTTCAACCTACAGTAGCAACGCCGATTACATCACATCACATTCTGTATATTTGAATATTCATTGCAGAAAAAATGTTAAATTAAAAATATAAATTTCAAGATTAGTACAGAATCAACGAAATCATGCAGTCTTTTGCAGCTAGAAGATCATTAATCAGCATGTTGAACTTGACAGACAAAAGACACTGATAGTTCATTCCAAAGTATCCCTCTTTAAAAAAAAGTTCAGTCCTAACACAACACAGATTATAAAGTTCTTACAGAAGCAAATTCATATGTTTCAGCAGAAAAATATGGAAATGCCATGAGACTTACTTTATCGTCTACTTCTGTGTTATGACTCAACCAAGCATAAGCCTCTCTAAAATCATCAAAAACATGAAGCCCGTCATGTGAATGTGATGTTAGGACGATAGATGGGGCTGAATAAGCTTCTGCTGCTGCCCATACACTGTGAACCTACAGGAAAGATCAAGATAATGAGGTCACTGTAAACATCAAGAAAATCTTTTTTATTTACATAAACTGCAGCATGAAGATGCCTTATTGACTGTTGTTCAGAAAGACAATAACAAAATATCAATAAAAGATGACATTATAGACCTAATTGTGTACTAAAAGTGAAAGTAAATTGCAAAGTAATAATAACGAAAAACATTAAGTTAATATAAAATGGAATAACTAAATATTAAATTCCTATTGGGGAAAAGAAAGATGTATTGAAAAATAAAAGATAATTTGCAAATATTATGGTTCAGAAACCTAGTTAACTTCAAATGAATGATGGGATGATTTGTAAAATTACCACATAGAAGGCACCCAGCAATACAAGTAAGACAATAGCAATGATGGATGTTTCCAGAGGTAAAACCGAAAGCCTTTTCTTAATTTTTGACTTGCTGGGAGGCTTTTCCACAGGTTCTTTTTCCTTCTTCCTGCTCTTCTTTGAGGTCCGTTCCTTATGTGTGTCCTCAGTTTTATCAGTCTTCAGAGTATCATCCGGCACAACACTTTCAGAACTGGCACCTCCAGCCTTGATAATCAAAAGCACAATTTGAACAAGGAAAAGTCATGGAGTGACTAAAAGAAAACAATGTTAAAACTGATGACAATTTATGAACAAATGCTTACATCAACATCAGAATCAACTGACAGACTGGGTAGCTGAAATTTAATCGATCTAGTGAAAACATCAAAAGCTTGAGAAAGAGCAATCCCAGACAAGATGCAAGCCGCTGGAGCAAGCACAAGCATCAGGCGAACCTGATATTTGACAATACTGGTTATTCAATAAAATAAAATAAAAATGTTATTAGTTGAACTAGTGCAGTCCCAATAATTCCATACCATGACACCGGAAAAATACACCGATGTAACAATATAAAGTATCACAAAAGAGCTTGCATCAGATAGAGGCGAAAAGCATGCCTGCAGCAGTAAGAACCAACATGACTTAGTTAAGAGCTTCTTAGAATAATATGAGAAAATCAAACATACAGATCTTTTCAGAAAGAGAACTCACAATAATGCCAGCTGGAACCAGAAACGCCAAGACATTAATGTCCATAAAATAAGAAGGCCAAGTTGGCGGCTGATGCTCACTAACACTAGCAATGATTGGTATGTACTTGCTTGCATAAGTACTGAAACACCACAAACAAGTATTAACGATTGGAGGCGCAACTGATACTGAGAAAATATTTTGCAAAATGACAAATATGAAGACACTTATTTGAGCTATCTTTAGTAATTTTGTAGTTACTATGAAATTGAAAGACCAATAAGCACCTTAAACAGAAAATGGCATTTTAAGTGATAAGTGTGACTAATTTACTAGAAAGTGTTTCTTTTGAAAGTTTGAATACTAAAATGGTCAAACAGGGCACTGACGGATCTAATAGACTTAAACTTCTTCCACTCCATCCCATTGTTGGGCTTGAAGCTACCATTGCAATAAGTACTGCTATCATTGCAAAACATACTGCCCTGCAAAATAAACAAGAAAAGAACAAAAATTAGTTTCACTTCCAGCCAGTGGTGTTTTGAATAGTTAATATGCCAGACAAATGGGCACTCACAGGCCACCAGAAACAACAAGTGTCACGGCTACTTTGAACATTTTTGGTGACAGTATTCCTTTAATATAGTATACAAGAGCCACCACATGGATGAGAATGAAAACCTGCAAAGAATAATTAAGAAAAAGAGCTAAGGTTTCAATGAAAATAATTGGATGGATACAAAGGAGAAAACCCAACAAATGAATTGATAAATACTTCACAATTTAGGTCACACACATAATAATTAGATAATTAGATTTAAAAGCATGCATGAGATGTGTACAAGTTATGAACAACAGAGTCAACAAATGGATGTAATTTAAGAAACAGCCGAGCCTTTTTCCACTAGGTAGAGTAAGCTACTTTACAGCTTTTTTGCACAGAAAATGATATCAGCTTAATTTGATCAAAATATATTGTATCCATTCACCACTACTAAAAAAAACTCCATTTCGCTTCACAAATTCACTTTGAAAGTTCAACTTCCATCCTTTTGTAGTATCTACAACCAGTTTAAGTTTTCACCCACCAAGTAAATATGGATTCTTCAAATAGTCAAAAACAAATACTTACTAGTTAGTGCAAGATCATCTGGAAGTCTGTCAATTAAGACTTACGAATATTGTTTAAATTTGATAGGTTTTTTACCCCCAAAAAAGTAAGAATTTAGAGGAGATGTAAATCATAGTATTTCGGTTACGTTGACAACATGATGCTTATAAAGGAGCTTCTAAAGCTCAAAACAAACACCACAAAACCAACAATTTTGCACCAACAAGAGCGCAGATTTAACTCTTCAAGTGCTGTGAAAATATTAATCATGTAGTGGTGGATAAGTGGGTAAGTACAATAAAAGATATGATCATGATAGAGAGAAAGAAAGTTGGAGTGAGTCAGTGAGAATGAAAGTTAGCATAAAACTTTCTTCCTCTATAGAAACAAAAGAAAATTAAGAATATTTATGTAACCAAGCATTCACAAAATAGGTAGTTGTTAATAATGTTAGAATAAAACACATTCATGGTTTAGATGAATGACCAGAAGTGTCACTTTTCTCTGAGTCTAGCCAAGTTCAACTTCATCCAAAGACTAAAGGAAACTCACCAGAAATGATGCAAAATGCTCGGATGTCATTACAGCATTAAAACCAACAACAGGTACCAGTGAGGCCAACAGTGTGCCCAATATAACCTGAGTTAGTAAAATCATTATGTGAGCCAAAAACAAGATAAGATGAACCAGAGATAGTTTTAAACTATAAAATCCATATCTAGTCAAAGAACAACTCTGGATATTGTATATGAAAATGCAATAAAGTCACATTAAGCCATGTTAAGAGTCTCACATCAAATGTTAAGAGTCTCGCATCAAATGAGATATGGCGTGAACATATGTTTATAACTGAGAACAATCTTCACCTTACAGATCAGTTTTGTAAGGTTGAGTTAGGCCCAACCACATTTCTATGATGGTATCTATCCAAGATTCATTGAGCCACCTGCTATTAAATTTCTGCTATCAGGTAACCTACCATTTATATCCGCACACTAAGCCCAATAATGTTGTTGAGTGAGGAGGTGTCTTAAGAGTCTCATATCAAATGAGATATGGCATGAAAATATGTCTACAAATGGGAGTTATCTTCACCTTACAATATGTACCCAAAATGAATTACTCATTCTCTAATTTAGTAAAACAGAGGTCACACTAAATTCTGCATCAGCCTATTAGTTAAGCTTCACTCTGGAACAATTTACTAATTTGTTAGACATTACCAAAACTCCCTTAATTCAATTACAATTTACTTTATCAAGCACAAGTAAAATTATCATATATCTCTACTCTGCACTTGAATAAGGGAAAACATCTAAAACCTCGTTACTGAAACAAATACTTACAAAAGGTGCATATGCAATATAAAGCCGAGAAGAATAGCGGCCAGTTACAATGCATAAGAGTGCATGCATTGGAATTAGGTTAATGATAAAAGTGTATCCTCCCCATGAGCAAACCTGCAAGACAAGAAACAGATAACATAAATAAAAGGCTTAATATCCTTTTTGGTCTTGTATGTTGACCTAAGTGTTCCTTTTCGTCCCTTAACTTAGAAAAGATCCATATTAGTCTCTTAACTCTTCAAAATGTACCATGTTAGTCCTTTTCGTCTAATTAGTGACAGAAAAACTCAAAAATCAATCGTTAAATTTGTCACTGACAAGATAAAAAGGAATAACATGGTATGTTTTGAAGAATTAAGGGTTTTGAATATTTAAGGGATCAAGATGGAACTTTTTTAAGTCAAGGGACCAAAATGACCCCCGAGGTTAACATACCAGACTAAAAGTATTAAACCTAAATAAAAAGAGGCAGAGTCAACATAACAAGATAGAAATGTCATAAAACCTTACCATGTAGAAGTATGCAATTGAGTTCAAAGTGGCATAAAAGAGGGACCCTGTATTCAGCGTCTACACGGCATGTAAATATGAAGTCAGAAAGTTAATGGAGAGATAATATAGAAACGCCCAAGTGACTTTTATCCAGAACAACATAGAGAACAAGCAGTTAACACAGAATATTCAAACCAGTCTATTGGACAACGATAATAACCCATTACCCATTGCCTGTACTAAGGAAAATGTTGTTGTCCAAAAACTATCATAAAAGTTGCAACAATGAATTGATCAGTTGATGAATGTATGTAGGGTGTGCACTGTGCAGTTATTTTCAAAACTATTTTCTTTGTTCCACCCATTTAAAGTTATGCATTCGGTCTTTTCATGCTCAACTTCAAAATACTTTTTCTGTACTACATAACATTGTTGTTCTATTAATTCTCTAGAGATTTGCAAGAAACCAATTTCGTTATGTAATGGCATTCATTAGGAAGTAAAGCTGTTTGCTTTCACCTTAATATAGAGATAGAAAGTGAAGATCAAAGCAAATATAGCAACAGCTTCATTATCATAGCTTCCTGCCACAGATCGAGAAATATATGATGGGACCTGCATAAGATTTAGAACCAATTACAAGTGAGGGGAGTAAGGAGTCAGCGACCAAAACATTACAGGAGAGAGTAACAACTGCCAATAGTCATCATAGATTAAAAGAATCATCATACATAGTTGTTAATCAGGTACCTATAGTGAATATGGATTTGTTAAACATTCAAATATACAATGCTGAACTATTCAACCAATAACTTTGATCAATACTTCATTACAACCATCAATGAAATGTTTATAATCAGTGGGAAAATCGGACAAATGAGTCAATTTTTTTAGAAATTCACCATAGCCAAAAAAAGTGCTGCTGTCAAGCCAGCTCCGGAACCCTTAACCTCCTACAAAAAGGAATCAGCTGCATCAAATTACAAAACACAAAAAATAGCAAAACTATACTATACGTGATTTTAGCATGGACAAACCTTTGTTAATAGATAAGTTGCCCACGAGGCAAATGCTGAGAATATAGGTGCAGTAAATACACAAACAGTTTCAACCGAGAGAGGTATGTTCAAGGAATTCAATACCCTGACACCAAGAGGGAATGGTCCAAAAATATAAATTTTCTTAAGTAAACGTTAACAGAATTGCTTGAATGAACATTAAATATCAGTATTTAGACAATAGAAAAATCACAGCATACGAAGAACAAAAACTCCTCCTGTGATTTTCAAATACCTACCACCACAAAGTGCCTGCTGTCAAGGTCAAACCAGGATAGACAGTCCCACCAATGACACGGCCAAGGGGATACCTTGAAACAGAAAGATAACACAAAGATTAGATCCAGAAACATTTTATCAGCATCCTGATTCAGTAAACTCATATAGTATAATATATAGAAGAATATATCTTTCAATCACAATACTGGTTGCTTACCAAGTTCGGTCATCAAACCAGTTCCAGAAATCATATATTCCATTCTTTGACAAAAACTGAATCAAACGAATTTGCATATCATCTTTAGTGACTCTTTATTGGATTGAGAAAAACAAAGTACAGTTGAACAAATATTGCATAGAATGATGAAAATTTTCGGCTGTCATGAGAATCTTAGTCCTGAAGAAAATGCAATAACAGGTGCAGAATAGTTTCACTCCAAATAATGCTCACCTGAGTGACTCTGTAGTTGAAATAAGGATCAAATTCATGAATAACACTCTCGTACTTTATAACCTGTACACAGCGCATAAAAAAATGATGGACTCATAGAATAACTCAGCAACAAGTAGACAGATATAAATAAACCAATAATATGACGGAGAAATTAGAAAAAGAACAATGTGATATAAATTACTATTCAGATACACATGATTTAAGAAACTAAACAACATTTTGAGTTAAATTATACTGTAGTTAATTCGCAGAAATGCCTAAAGTATATCACCGCTTTTACATGATAATAATAATAATAATTCAAAAATACAAGTGACATAGATGCAATCATGCTTTTGGAAGTTCCGTGAAAAGATACTGAAACAAATTAGAATTTCAACCAATAGTAAGCCTTCAATTTATCATCTAATTAATAATAGAATCAACCAGAAATTCTATTTCAAGTGCATGTAAGTTTGAAATGATATCACATATCTTATCATCCTTTGCATTTCTTTCATTCAGTCTAAACACTACTTACACACCACTAGAGTCAACATTTTCAAATCACATCTTATCAAATCCGTAGAAAATATATATATAAACAGTTATGGCAATGATGCTGAGATTCTACTATCGTTTTGCAAAATTTGCAAAATTACAAAAACAACTATAAACTGTGAGTTGTTCATTGATACATAAACGCCGAAACGGTTCAATTGATCCGTTATCCATGGAGTTGAATTGAGAAGTAGACAGTCGCAATGGAAACAAGGTGCAGAAAACCAGATCTGGAAAGTATACGAAATGGTGAAATGCTTACGGAGAAGAGACGGATCGAGAATGCGAGAACACCGATCAAGATCAGGATGAAGAACACGAGAACGTTACCGAAGGCGTGGCGGAGCGAGGTTTGAGCATCGGTGGCCGCCATTGACGGCCAATTGAGCTCGTGAGAGAGATAGAGAGAGTGTTTCTGTTTCGGAGATTGACTGGGGTTTATGATAGAGAAGTCGTTGTGGAGGAAGAAACAGAGTGGGTTGTATCAGATTGCAAATGGAAAAATTTGCAACAGTAGTTGGAGAAAGACGATAATGGGTCTGTATTTTGTATTTGATGACTAAACTACCCTTTCTATTCTTACGTGGCAAAACTATTTTGCATTTTTTGTTAATATTGATGTAGCCGAGTGATGTGATTGGCCGTGGAGTGTGTGTGACTCTCTTCTTAGTTTTGGACAAGGTTATTTTCGACATTTTTCTTGGTGAAATAAAAAGGATTTTTCAGTTATGATGTCGTGCAAAATAATGCATTTCCTATGCTAAAAAAAATTATAATGTAGGAACCAAAAATAAGAAAAATTACAAAGTTTAAAATAGATAATAAATAATAATAATTTGAGAAGCTAAGAAAGTTGTGAATGATTAGGAGTAATTATTTACATCTTATTACAAATATCGTATTTTTTTATTGTCAAAAATGTATTTATTTTATTTTACTTCTTTACAATTTTTAAAAAAATATTAATTTTGTTAATTTTATTTAAACTATTTTACAATATAGTCACTAAAATAATATATTTTATTTACTAAAAAAAATTTGAATAACTCTTCTGATGTTGGTAAAAAACACATTAAGTGACTTTTTCACATCAATTAAGTTAGTCTTTTTTATTTAAAGTACTTCATCCTCCTACTTCTATTGATTTCCTTAGTTTGATATGAGACAAGAGTCATAAATGTAATTTAATCTTCATAAACAGTCAAATATTTGATCATTATTGTATTTAGGACACATGTTTAAGTATGCTAACGTCACGTAATAAATGCCCATAAAGGCTTACCTTGGATATCCTGACCTTGAGGCGGCCTGTAACGCGCCTAAACTTGGTGATGGGTCATGTCTAACTCACGCCTAGACTTGACCCATTACCTATGATTTACTCGTCAATTCTGGGATGTATAAAGTCTCTCAAGCATGAGGGTTGAAAGGGTTGAGTGCTTAAAAGTGAAGTTGTCTAGACTAATTTGACTATATGGTCAGTCCAGACTTTTGATTCTAATCTCTGCGACTTTTTGAAATGTCCACAATCCCCCAAACATGAGGCCTGGAAGGACGAAGTGCTTAAGGGTGAAAATTTTGGACTAATCTAATTGTGTTACTTCGACCCACCTATGGATACAACCCTCGTGATTCACTTGGTGTTACATGTTTGTAGACGACGAGACCACTAGGGAGTTTATAACTAAGAGAATCGACCTCGGATTCGACGCAAAATATAGTGTTAACTTTCTCAGCATAAAGTACCACTATGTTCTAAGGAAACTAAAACCTCTTTTATGTCATTGGGATATGTTCTTTAATCCTCATTCCCTTATTACCAAGAATAGCTCGGGCACAAAATTAGTTTCATCGTACCTCATAGCTCCTGCCCCTCATAACTTTCCTTTGGAATATTACGGATAAGCTCGAGCGCCTTGTTCGGTTGTTTATGCTTGTCACAAAGGCTCCCATATCACTTATTCGTCCATGGAGTTCTTGGCTGAAATTCTTAAACCCAAATCACCCAGCTCGAGGGAGATACATGTCTGCCATTTGGATTCTTTGAATTATGTGTCTCGAAAAATAATTTAATGTTTCATGATTACTTTTATTGGGACTTGTGATGCCCTAGTTGTCATCATTGTTCTCTACTACTAGAGTCAATTAGCCTTTCATCTATGAGATTTTTTTGTGCCCCCAAAGTCTCGCTAAACTAGAGGTTTTTCTTTTTTCACCATCCACTAACTTTTTTAGAACCACAATCGGCCTTCTCTCCTTCTCCGCATTTACAAGTTCCAAAATCTTTTGTCATCAAGGTTTCCTCTTTTTCTTCTCTATCCGGGTATGGTGATTACTTTTCCATTATTTTTATACTTCACCTAATCATTTTTTATGGTTTTGATTCGTGAGTGCGGCGAGAGTGTGATGGTAATTTCACCTAAAAACGTAACTTAGAGGCATGAACTAGAGCAATAATGCGTGAAAACGTCTATACACGTTATAGGAAAAAGTAGATCGGGGATTCATGGAAAAGTAAATAGTGACACTAACTTGGTGTCTTCTTCCTCAAGTTCGATTGCGATCATCATGGAGCTTCTCGATAAATCTTTTAGTAATGAGTTTCTAAGTTACGACTCAATTTGCCTAAATGATCCATGTGTGAAAAACTTCTGAAATCAAATAGACTTCTCTAACACCAGGGATGAGGCCAATATTACTTTGGAATCATGTGACCCAGATGATAAGGTTTGTATGTGACTGCCTCTCGGAGTGCCCGACGAATATTTCTACATCTGCCCCAGAGTTATTGAAGATTTTGGTGTGTGTATTCCATTCACCATCTTCCAATTTGAACTTCTAAAAACCCTGAACGTTGCCCTTTCCCAACTTCATCCTAATAGTTGGGCATTTTCCCGGGCGTTTAAGGTAATTTGTTGGAACCTCAATATTATGCCTATCATTGGTATATTCTTTTCTTTTTGTGATTTTAGAATGAGCATATAAAGGAGGTTGGGTTTCAATTAATGTTATGCACGGGTGGGCCATCTTACCCCTTGAACGTCGAAATATAAAGGCTAGAAGGATAAATTCCTCCAGATGATGGGTAATGTCTAGTGCCTGCAAGCCATATGTGAGAAAGATTAGGTGTACCGATTTCCTATTTATCGGACCAATGAACATACTTTAATAACGGGATATGATGCGCATAAATGAGCGCCACTTAAAGGGAGGCGATTGAGCTTCTAGAGTGATTTCAGACTATGTGGATGCGCGATTTGCTAAAATATGATGGCATTATGGATAAGTTGGTGGACTTTCATGGTATAGTGAATTTCATGTGACCTTAATCATTGATTTATCGTTATCTGACTCCTAAATTAACTCATTTTTATTTATGTAGATAAAATGACTAACATTATAGTGGTCGAGAAGAAATCCCTGATAGCTCATGCTAAAACTCGTGGCAGGGAAGAAAACCCTGTCAGGGTTCAAACTCGGGTTACAAAAAAAGAGAAAGAATGTGGCGAATGGCACTATGGTGAATGTCGTCCATGTAGCAAACCAAACCACTATCAAAACCTCTAAATCACCCTCACGAAGAAGAACAAGGGGGTATTAGCAAATATGTTATTGGTGACGCGACCTTGGCCCATATTGACCTAAAATCCAGTGGTTTACTAGAAGGGAAATAAAGGAAAACAGGTGGTCCATCTCGCATAGGCGGTGAAGAATCCAAGTTTTTGGAATGGAGTTTTGATGGCCTAGATTTTTTGCATGATCATCTTCATTAATAGAACACCTATAATGGTTATCGATTGAATGGCTCCATATGAGAAGTTATTTTACAAACCTTCATTGTATGAATTTATCAAGACTTTTAGGTGTGTGTTATATGTTAAGAGTTTAAGCAAACAACAAGATAAGTTTGATTCTAGAGCGAGGAAGTGTGTCTTTAAGCGACACCCTAAAGGTAAAAAAGGGTGGGACAATGTATAATCCAAGGACAAGTGAAATTTATGTATCAAGAGGTGTGGTGTTCTATGAGAATATTTTCCCTTATGCCTCAAAAGAAAAATGGAGTAATGAAGACGATCTTTCACAAAATTTTGCTCTTAGTTCTTGCTCTGTTTAAGAAGAGATTGCACCTAGCCAAGATAGGTAGCAAAACCAAGTTGACATTCTCACTCAACCCACAGAAGATCAACGAGTTTGGAAGAAGTTTCTAATGTGATTATAGGTATCTAACTTCATATGATGAGGGGGAATGAGCTTACTAAAGTCACATACTTAGGGCCAAGGATAAAAGGTTCACCCAAACATATGAATGACTATCATTGTTATTCATTAGAGAAAACTCGTATGTCTACATTTTCAAACTTGTCAACTTTTTCAAGTATGGTGTATCATATTATCAAATCGTGTAAATGAAGGAGATGACTTCAATAAGGGTCTGTTTGATTGGGGTTCTGGAAGGGAGGGGAAGGAATTTTAAAATAGGTGTGTTTGGTTCAATTTTTTATGAGGGGAGAGGAGGGGATTGGAGGTAATCAGAATCTCTCCTGGAGCATTTTTTCGTTCCCTCCAAATTGGGGGTTTTCGGAGGGGAGGGGAAGAAGAGGAGTTATGATAACATGTATTTTTATTATATTGACAAAATTATCCTCACTTTTATTTAATAAAATTTTTAATTGTCTTTATTAATATTATACCTTAATTTTTGTCACCTTATTATAATTCCTTCATTTGTTTAATAGCAACTCCATTACTTTTATTATTATGATTCAACTTTTTTTCCATGTGTTTTATTCTATTCATTTTTATTTAATATTTTGCTTGTAATAACTTAATTATTTTATAATTTATTGTATTATATTACATATCAATGTATAATTGTAGTATGAGTTATATATTATGTAGAATCTAATCTTATAAATATGTTATAGGATTAAATATATCATCAAGATGAGAAAATGGTTCATATGATCATTGATCATATAATTTGATTTTATGACGTTTATCAATATTTTATTTTTATTTTAAGATATTTTAGAGTATTTTAAATGTTAAATATTTTGTGTTTAATTATCTATGTGTTTTATGAATTAACAAATTTTTTTGGTGAATATTTTTTTTAAAAATTTATTTAATGATTGTTATAATATTTTAAGGGTAAAAAGGTAAGTTAGTTTTAAAACCTATCCCCTCCCCTGTGAATCAAACAAATATTTGAATAAAACTTCTCCCTCACATCCCTTCCCCCTCTTATGAACCAAACATACGTTTAATTAAAATGCATCCCCTCACCTCCCCTCCTCTCCTCTCCGTTGAACCAAACGGACCCTAAGACTTTTACATTGTTCACCAAAATGACAATTATGAGGTGTTTTATTACTGTTATAGTGGTTAAATGATGAAAGTTTCACCAAATAGATGTAAGCAATGCATTCTTACACAAAGAATTTGATAAAGAGGTATATATGGGAGTACCACTAGGTTATAATGTTCCTAATGATGGCATGGTATGTCTCTTGAGAAAGTCATTGTATAGTCTTAGGTATGCCTCACATAATTGGTACTCAAAGTTATCTCAATCATTAATAAGATATGGTTTTCATGAACCTGAAGTCGGCCAAAATTGTTAGCGATAACAAAAGTGAGTATTTTTTATCACATCTACAAGGACTGGTGCAAATATCGAAAATCGTTCAATAACTCATATAAATAGAAATAACAAAATATAATAATAAAGGGTTTAATAGATAGAATTAAGATTGTTGGGGGTTATATTTCATTATCCCCTCATGTATTTTTTGTTATCAATTATGTATATTCTTAGCCATCAATTAGTATTATCACATATCGCTTTGCATATGTTGTTTATGTTTAAACAACAATGTGAAATTAATCGCATTGACTAAATATTATTTTTTAACTAGTTAACCAATACAACACATTAAAATTCGACATTATATATTAAGGATGGCAATTTGGTCTATCCCCAGTGAATATCCATAAATGACTCATAACGGGTAGGGTAAAAACTCGCAAAAATGGATACGGATACGAGCTCGGATAATTACCCACTTAAATAAGCGGTGATTGATGTTGATATAGGCACCATAGTACCCCCAGCCCGCTCCATACCCGTACAATATATATTTATATTTTTTAATTTATATTATTATATAAAAATAAATGTTTATAAAGTTTATAAAAAAAAAAACATCAACTTTAAAAAACTACATATCTAATACAAGTGGTCATTTATTTCATAATTTAACAATAAACATCATAACATCACTTATTAACAAGAACATACATAACATCATGATCAATATGAATATATGAGTTTGCATAACTACATCTAACCCCTCAACAACAACAACAAAATTAGATACGCTTACTCACGGTAGTTTTACAATAGTTATCAGAAAGAATAGATGAAAAAACATTCATGAAAATTTCTCGATCGGATAGTCTCCACCTTCGATATCTCTCTTGAAAATTTTCCTCCCAATTATCGCTTATGGTACATAATTTTTAAATATTACAATGTGACAACATATCTAATAAAATTTGAATCAAATCCAAATAAACAAGCAGAAAACTCTATTTATAGAGTTTTGTTCTAATATCCCCGCTTGCCAAAATTTTTGACTCGCCTAGCAAATTTTGCTTTGCTTCTTTATTAAGTAAGGTTTCAACTTGTCCCACCTATGGTTGGCTGCCATATTTCGCTTGGCGAGCCTTCATAACTTGCCATACGAAAAAATCCTTCTTTCACCCTTATGTTAAGTTATTGACTAACCTTCGGGACAGTAAATTTAGTCTGAATGTTAAGTTATTGACCCTGAATGTTAAGTTATTGACCAACCTTTAGGGTAAATTTCTTTTCTAAGCAGTAAGTTTTTGTTATAAAATTGACATATTTTAATAAACTTTGTATTTTAAACGAGTAGTAAATTTGTTATAAAATTGACATATCTTAATAAACCTTCTATTTTAAATCAATTATACAAACCACTAAGTGTTAAACCAAAAAAAATCATATCATTATAAAAAGAAAGTCAAACCCAAAAGACGGAAATGACAAAATGAAACAAAGCGTGCATATTAAAAAGTCCAAAAGTTAACTTTCGTACTAGACAAAAAAAAACACATAACTACTTACATTTTGGGTGTGTCAAGAAGTTAAATTCTGAATTTTAAAAGCATTATTGATTTTTCACTAAGATGCGTGTTTCACTAAGATGCGTGGGCACTGCAGAGTAATCCCCTTCTTGAATAATGAGTGTGCAATACTTCCTAGTAGATTATCTTACATGGAGGTTTTCATATGTTGACATGAAACTTATTTATGTTCATTTCATTTTTGTACACAGCAAATAGTAGATAATCAAGAATGTTAAGATCTAACCAAGGTTGAGTGTTAAATGAAAATGACCACATAACACCATTTTATGTTTCTGAGACTCATCACCTATTCCATTCCAACTAATTTGATTTTTAAATTTGCGCCCACGTCACATTCCCAAAATAATCCTTTAAAAGAAAATGAAGATGATAAATCTAATTTTTGAATAACCAAACGTAGTCTGATTCCTGCTGTTATCATACCTGACCACTAATAATGCCAGTCATTCCCATTAAAGTAAGAAAATCTAGAGAACTGATTCCCAAAGTTACATGTTGAAATCAAAACGAAGGAGCTGGATATACAATGAGGTAGAGACTATCTCCAAATATTGGCAATGCTTTTATAATATGGGAAAATAGCTCTCAACTTGCACAAATTTTCTTCAATTTGAAACGAATGATCGTTCATTCTCCCTACAAGTTGCTTCCAGAAGCAGAGACCTCTGTACTGCAGACAGGGCAAACCTGCAAACAAAGAACAGTATTCAGGACGGATAATTTATGAAATTTTGAAGCACGTTCTTGTTAGATTTTGTAAATGAGACAATCTAAACAAGTGGAGAACCAGATATTTATATCATTTAAAAGAGGCATTAACATGTTAAGAACTATGGCAAAGTATAAAAAAACACGTCGTAAAAAATGTGATAATATCCACGTTTCAAATCCTTCACCAACTAGAATGTGATTTGTTTTTTTTTCTCTTGGTTGAGATGGGGTAACCCAGGCCTTCAATTTTTTGGTATTTAAAACCAAAAGGAATTTTTCTTCACCCATAATCCTTTAATTATGTTTGTTCGATTACTCTAATGCCCATTTGGACTAGATTAAGGCTAAAGTTCCCTCCAAAGTTAAATTATCTGCCGTTGATAAATTAATTGTTTTAGGGTAACACGCAGTACCTTCTAGCCCTTAATTGCTCCGTGCATAAATTAATATATAATGGGTGAAGTCAATATTTACCAACCGTAGAGAAATGTTTCAAACTCCACACTAACTTCTTAAATATCTCAGAATATCAAATGTGCAGCTTTAAATTTAGGAAATAATGAGATTTGAAATATAGCAATTGGCTCTGAGAGGACTGACGAAGATACTTGACATTGGTTTTAAAGAAGCTATCGCAATATGCAAATTAAATGAATAGAAAGATGATATTCTTTAGAGAAAAAGGGTCTGCAAAACAGACTAAATCAGAAGTATTAGGAACTGAGGAGTGATAAGGAGTTCACGGGTACAACTACCCCCACCAACAATTGGCAACATTTTCCATTTAAAAGAACAAAGGCGTTAGGAACTGGAAGACATTACTTCAATACAAAAAATCTTGAACTTGGTGTATTAAACTATAGCCTTAAGGAGCTTCAGTTCGATACTTTGATTAGTTTTAAATCATGTCTATGTATTGCAAATTTAGGTTGAAAGTGAAAGGTATAAAGCAAGACAGAGAATGATATATAGTGCAATCCAAGTTCTACTCAAGATATTTTAAGGACTCCGCTAGCAGAACAATGCTAACAGCACAAAAGAACACTTATGCACCATTTATTCCATCTGCCTCGGATTAAATGCCACATACGTGTCGTGTGCGGTTTTTAAGGAAATGACTAGTAGATTTCAAAAGTAAAATTAGTATTATTTACTAAAACACTCTTATTAATGGTAGTTAGTGGAGTGAAAATCAATAAATAACAGTATAGTAGTGGAGAAAAAATAACAAAATTTTGTATTGGTATTCTAAAGTGACAGTTATTGAGACCGAAAACGTGCAAATGTGACACTTTTTATGAGAAGTAGGAGGAACCGATTAGGGCATAGAAGAATTATTCAATCAGATGCATATAACACTTTAAATAAGACCTAATGGACCCATTCAAAACTTACACTAGCAACTTGTACTAAGACCACATGTATGCAGCTAAACGTAAATGATTGGGAGGGGAAGAGAAGCCTGTCATGTATGAACATACCTTATTTATTTTCAGCCAGTTGTTAATGCACTCGGGATGGTACAGATGTTTGCAGGAAAGAACTGTCAAGGACTCATCATCCTCATAGTCCACCCGGCAAATGACACACCTAAAAGGGACACAAAAATCAGGAAACACTATATATTATCATGATCGCAGACAGCTAATGATAGAAGGAGCAGTATTTTGACATACGAATCATTGCTCCCATGCTGATCACTCCCCGTCTTATAGTTGACTGAAGGTAAACAGGCAATAGTATCAGTCGAAAGGCCTCTGCTCTCAGTTCCTACTACCTCACCCAATGCCAGGAGTTCCTAAAATAATTAAAGCATATTTTTAAAACATGAGAGAGAAGCCAACAGAAAGTAGGAAGGGTCATATAAACTTTGATATTGATCAAATTTACCTCATATGAAAGTTCATCTGGATCAACATCCTCCCAAGCATCCTGCAAAGTTAGAGGGTCACAATAAAGTTACAATTGAGTTAACTTAACATTAGTAGATGAGTTGCATGACTTAATTCTATAAATAGCATGCATTATTAGTGCTGTTGAGGGGGTGGCATCCCACTATGAGAAACAATTATTTACAGTCTCACACAACTTCACCCATAATCTTCTACATGCTCATTGCTTGTCGGCTATTCTTTGTGTTACGTCGTGATTGTTTTGATCAGGATCCACATCGACAAGGTATATGACCAAAAATACTCTATAAAGCGCACACAATCCTTGCCACTTGAGCTAGATCAAAATTCTAATATAGAACTAGAGTTAATCATACATCTGCTATTGGGCTACCCGCACATGTCTGTTACTAGAGCATATCTTACATCTGCTATAGGAATGGAAACATTGCTCAAACCTTTACTCACACAACACCACTACTCTGGCATGTTGATTGTTCATGTGTCCCTCCCTACCCCTTTTTTAGTTTTCTTTAGTTTTCATGTGAATCGTCTTAGTGGGAAAACAGTCTGTGCGGCTCTCTATCTCTTTCCTGTAGCATACCCTTCTAGTTTCTTTTGTTTCTTTTGTATCTCTGTCCTCATTTTTCAACCTGGCATCCCTCTATTCTCTATTGGTATTTTGGTCTGACTGTTTTTCTTCTTTACTTGATTTTTCAGCCACCCTTCACATCCTCTGCAGGCTACAACTAGGACATCATCCACTCAGAGGCTTAAACATAATTGATTCTTAGACTGTTGTTGTTACAGAGTAAGTGATGTTTGTGTTTAGCTTAGGACTATGCTTCTCTTATAATTAATTACGAACGTCCTCAATCGTTTGTGTTTAGCTTAGGACAAATGTTTCTTATAATTAATTATGAACATCCTCAAACGCAGCACAGCAAGCAACCATTCAAAAAAATCTTATGAATTTGTCCTAAATGTATTAAGTGCAGTAGATATAAACGAAATAAGCTAACAAGCTAAGTGATACTATTGAAGTTTCAAAGGAAAAGAATGCTAGTATTACAATAATTTTTTAATAGGACCACATTATATTCACAACAAAAAAAAAACATCTAGTTACATGTATTAATATTATTTTCTTAATACCATGAAATATTCCCCTAATTATATGGTATTCAGATTTCACATATATCAAATGTTTGGCTTTCCAAAGTGCATGGGAGTGTAAATGTGCAAGGATAGTCCATGAGTGTGCGTGAATGGTAGTGAGATTTCACATATATGTTTGGTTTTCCAAAGTGCATGGAAGTGTAAATGTGCGTTAATGCGCATAAACATAAAATAGAGACATTTACCTGAGAATTAGTACCATGCTCCTCCATGTCCTCAGCATCCTCTGTAATTGAAAACGAAACTAGAGATTCTAACTGAATAATTTGAAAAAATAAGACAAAATTTCACCAAATTTACACTCATAGCAAAGGAAACTTACGATCATGTATCCCAGCAAGTGCCAACAGTCTAGCTGCCATCTCCCTCTCTTCAGCCTCCTGTAATGCTCTTGCATAGGCTTCATCATTTGAAAACAGCTCTGGGTCAAATTCAATAGTGGCATTATCATGTTCTCCAGCACTAGCATGAGCATGAACATCAAATACGTCTTCATCTTCATATTCCTCCTCATTATCGTCATCCTCATCCTCCTCGTCCTCATCTACATCAGTGCCATCATGCAGATCATCAAAATCATCTCCATCCTCATGCAAATAACTCCCACCTTCCCAACTTCCATAGTCACTTCCATCATTATTCATCCTCAGCATCATGTATGCCCTTTCCTATTCAATCATAAAATTAAAAGAAAAATCAGATTATCCGCGAACCACAACATTCAAACTATAATAGAATTAGTGTATTTGACTGCACCTGTCCTACCCAAGGTTTAAAAAAACGATCATTTCCACAAAAAAAGCCCGTGACAAAACAGTTTTCGGGAGGTGCAGGCGATACCGTTATTCACCATTTTGATAGAACAAATTGTGATTAATTCACACTGCGACGACCACAATTATTCACCATGATGGCACTTGATTAATTCACACTGCGAAGACCACAATTAACGCGACCGGTATTTAAAAACTTGGTCCTACCTATACTTAAGAGTTATTTTTCCCTTGGTTTTTCAAGTTAATGCATCCCATTTTACAACAGCATTCATTTCTTATACCTTTTAAATTTAGTCTCTAAATTATCACTTTCTCTCCTACTTAGAATGTAAAACAGAACAAGAATATGCATTCATTCAAGTGCTATTTCACTTCCAGCTGCGCTATTAACCTAACTCGTGAATTATCATTAGCAGAAACTACATAATTTAATTGAAGCATTATTAGGTTACAGAAAACTATTATGAAATAATAATCTAATGTTAGTTTTGAACATGTTCGAAATCAACGAATCTTGAAAGTTGCAATTCACTTCATTATCGTTCTAATTAAATTAATTAAGGAATAAACAAAAACAAAAGAAGTGATAATAGAATTGAGAAGAAGACGGAAACCTAACCTGCTCTTGAAGAGTTCGAGCAAGGGCGAGGTCAGCATCGACTTGGCTGAGATTAGTGAAAGGCGTTCTTGAAGGTTGTTGCGCGGCGGTTTCAGATCCAGTAGGTTGTTGTTGTTCCCCTTTGTCTTCTTCTTCTTCTTTCTCTTCCATTTTTTCTGGTATGTTTTCCTCGCCGTTCAAATTGGAATGTTCTTCTTCGTTGATATGGTTATTGGATTTGATTCCTCCGCCGCCGCCGCCAGAACCTAGTTTGGTCGTGTTGACGGAGCCGTTGTTGACGGTGGTAGTGGCGGTGGTGTCGTTCTCCATTGGAATTAGGAAGAAGAAGAAAAAGAGTGAATAGAAAAGAAGAATGATCGAATCGGAGAATCAACCTCACAGAATATTATATAATAATATAATATAATTATATAATAATTTTTTTTAGTTTAAAATAAAAGAGCATAAAAAGGAGGAAACGGCAATGAAATCAAAATAGAAAAGGTCTGCGAAAACAGTCTGGGAGTGGGGTCCAGTAGAATAGACGCTCCGATTCGGAGCAACGGTTCACTATGGTGGGTCCCACAAAAGATCGACGGCCTATCTTTGCGGATTTTCTGTTAATCACTTGCGGCAACAAATCTAATTAATTTAGTTTTTGTTCTGTAAATTTGTTTTGTTTGTTTTAATTGTGTGTCGTGTTATGGATATTATATTAAATCTTGAATTTATCTTATTTGAAGAAAAATATTAATGAATTTTGAGTTAAACAATTTCTCTAACCAAATTATCAAGTTTTTATTTTCTTTTTAGTAAAAAATGGTATTTTGCATACAACAAAACTTTCATGCATGCATTTTTAGTTCCATTAACATAAAATTATAGTTATATTGAAACTTTTAAATTTTTTCAAGTGTTTGAAAAATTATAATAAGCTTGTTTATAAAAAAAAATTAGAATTTTTAAATACAATATAGATTTATTTAATTTTTTAGTATAATAACTTTTTTAAAAAATATATAAGACTCTAAACGCTTTTTTGAATTAAAAAATTCAAAACTATAGATTTATTGTCTTCCTTGAATTCTTTTCTGAGAGAACTTGGATGAAATATTCAGAGAAGGGATTGGGTTTTGAGTGTTTGTAACTTTGAGTATGTGTAATTTTGACAACTTTCTCTCTATATGTCTCTAACTAAAGTTAATTTTTCTCTCTCAATAAATAATATATTTTAATCACTCGTTAATCTTTATATTGGTCTAAAGTTACAAAAGGTCACCTAATCCAACCCCAAATATTCATATGATATGGGTTTGGAATTCCATTTTTTAAACTAGTTCATTTCTTCTTCTTTTAATTTGTATATTGTTGGAAATTCACCTCACACCCTATGAAGAATTCCCTTCAATCTTGATCTCAAGATTGATGAACAAACCCACAATATGATAATGATGATAATAACAAGTAATTATCAAGAACAACAAAAGAGAAGAAGAATAACAAACAAGAAAGAGAAGAATGAGAGAAGAAGTATTTGGAGAGAATGTGTTACCCACAACTGTGGGATTTCTTATTGAACTTTCACTTGCTAACTGCAACTGTGAAATCTGTTCTGTTGTGATGTATAATACAAAGCAAGGCACCCTATTTATAGTTTTAGGTTTACACTAGCCCAAAACATAAAAGGCCCAAAATATTCTAAATCAAATCTAATCATATGATATCAAATCTAATCATATGATATCAAATCTAATCATATCAAATCACAATGAATTATATTTAACACACCACCTAATTCATTGTGTCTAAACTGTCTACATTCATCATGGCCCTTAGTCTTCTGAAGGCTTCGACCTGCACTCCCTTCGTCATGATATCTGCAATCTGATTCTCAGTTCTGCAGTGTTCCAACTTCATCTTCCCTTATGCTACCCGCTCTCGGAGATAATGGAACCTCATTTCGATGTGCTTGCTTCGACCATGAGCTATTGGATTCTTTGCCAAGTTGATAGCTGACATGTTGTCTATCTTCATGGTAATTGCTCCATGGTTCTTCCCTGTGATTTCTTCGACCAAGTTCACCATCCAAGTTGCTTGACATGCACAAAGGGAAGCAACTATATATTATGCTTCGCATGATGATAATGCCACCACTGGTTCCTTTCTCGAACTCCAAGCAACTGGTGCACCACCTAACATAAGCACATAACCAGCTGTGGATTTTCGATCCTCAGCATCACTACACCAACTGGAGTTTGTGTATCCCACTAACTTGCATTCTTTTCCTTCATCAGCTGCTGGAAACAAAATACCATAGTCGAGAGTTCCTTTCAGATACCTCAGTATCCTCTTCGCTGTTGCTAGGTGTGATACCTTTGGCTTCTGCATGAATCTACTTACCATACCAACACTGTATGCTAAGTCAGACCTTGTGTGACAAAGGTATCTAAGTGACCCAATAAGTCTTCTGTATTGGGTTGGGTCGACATCATCTTCATCTGAATCCTTCGACAGTTGCAATCTGGGCTCAGCTGCATTGACTGGTTCGATGGACTCCAACTCTTCAATCATTGCTTTCATCCACTTCGAATCTTTCAATGCCTCAGCTGCATTGACTGGTTCGACATCTGCGTAGAAAGCATAATGTACCAACTCACCCTCTTCATCGACTACATCATCTGATGTAATTACACATTCTTGCAACCTTGCAGGCATGTGTCTTGTGCGTCGAGGTCTGCTTGAACCTGCTTCATTTGCAACTAGTTCCTGTCGAACTTCTATTTCGACTTCAGTGGCTGGTTCTTCACAAGAGATTCTCACTGAATCCTTCTTGGCATTCTCAGTCCAATCCCATTCTTTAAGATCATATATGATCACGTCCCTGCTGATCATACCTGCTTATTCACTGGGTCGAACAACTTGTACCCTCTTTTCGAATGATATCCTATCAAGATCATCTGATTTGACTTATCATCAAGTTTCCTTCTCAACTGATCTGGCACATGTCTATGTGTTATAGATCCAAACACCTTTAAGTGACTGAGACTAGGCTTGACACCAGACCAACATTCTTCTGGTGTGATTCCTTCAAGCTTCTTTGTCGGACATCTGTTCAATATATATGTTGCTGTCGAAACTGCTTCTCCCCATAATTCTTTAGGTAGATGCTTTTCATTCAACATACTTCTCACCATATTCATGATGGTTCTGTTCTTGAGTTCTGCAATCCCGTTTTGCTGTGGAGTGTAAGGTGGCACCACCTCATGCACAATCCCTTCTTTTACATATAGTGTATCGAACTCTTTCGACACATACTCTCCACCACCATCAGTCCTCAGAATTTTCAGCTTTCGACCACTTTGTCTTTCGACCATAGACTTGAATCTGGAAAATACCTCAATCACATCACTTTTCTTCTTTACGAGGTAAGTCCACAGCTTTCGACTGTAATCATCTATAAACGTGACAAAGTATCTATTGCCACCAATCGAATCCACCTGGATTGGACCACATACATCAGAGTATATGACTTCAAGTATTGCCTTCGACTTCCTTCCTGCATGCTTGATGAAGCTATTCTTGTGTTGTTTCGACTGAACACACTCTTCACAGACTTCACTTGGAATGTCGATTTCTGGTAATCCTGAAACCATATTTCTTTTCTTCAGTTCTCTGATGTCTTTAAATTTGAGATGACCTAGTCGAAAATGCCATAACCACTCATCTCTGCTGGCTGCAGTTGCTAGACATCTGTGCTCCATCACATTGAGTCCAATCTTGAAGGTCCTATTCTGAGACATTGGAGCCTTCAAGATTAATCTACCATCTGCGTCGAGAACTCTCATCATCTTGTCTTCGACAACTACCTTGTAGTTCTTTTTGACAAGCTGCCCTATGCTAAGCAAATTACTCTTCATGCCTGGTATGTACAACACATTGGAAATTGTTGACCTTTTGCCATCTTTCCTCATAATCAGAACATCACCAACATCTTCGGCTGCTAGAGTGTTGTCATTTGCAAACTTCACGGTGTTCTTCGACGAGGGCTTCATGTTGACAAACCAATATTTCCTTCCAGTCATGTGTGATGAGCATCCTGAGTCCAAGTACCACTGATCTTGGAATCTTTCTTCATCTCTTGTTGTGACCATTAGCAACGTTTCTTCTTCTTCATGTTTCGCCAGCTTTGCATCAGTCTCTTGATTTCTCTTCCTTTTTGGACAATCACTAGCATAATAACCATACTTCTGGCAATTGAAACACTGAATGTGGCTTTTGTCTAGCTTTCGACCACCACCTCTTCCTTTACCTGCAGCACCACCTCTTTGGTTGCCTTAGTTCCAAGGTTTCTTCTGATTCGACTGGTTTCCTCCTTTGTTTCCATTCAGCTACCTTTGCATTTTCTTTCCTTTTCCGACTGCGTCTGTAAAGCCATATCTTTCGACTTTCCTGCAGCTTTCTCAATCATCCTCTGTTCATGAGACTCAAGAGTCCCTTGAAGCTCTTCCTTCGTCAACACTGACAGATCTTTCGACTCTTCTATGGCAACTACCACGTGGTCGAATTTTGGAGCCAACGATCTCAAAATCTTTGAGACAACTGCTTTCGTTGTCAGCACTTCTCCACATACTTTTATTTGATTCACCAACTTTGTAATTCTGGTGAAGAAATCTGTAATGCTTTCGTTGTCTTCCATCTGAAGCAACTCATAGGTTCTCTTGTGAGTTTGTAACCTCACCTCTTTCACCTTTTCTGCGCCTCCAAACGACTTTTCAAGAATCTCCCATGCTTCTTTTGCTGAATCAACATCACTAACCTTTTCAAAGTTATCAGGATCAACACACTGATGAATTATAAAGAGTGCTTTATAATCTTTCTTCTTCAATTCTTTGTGCGCAGCCTTTTCCGCCTTCGTTGTGTTCTCCCCAAGCGATGTTACTCCGTCCTTCACAAGATCCCAAAGATCTTGCTAACAGAAAATCACCTTAATCTGCTTGCACCAATTCTCATAATTGTCTTTCTTGAGAATTGGCAGGGTCGCCGGAAAGTTGTCGTTCGGATAGTTCATGTCCATCACTATCTTCCTTCCTTGAATCTCTCAACTGGAGCTCTAGATACCAGATGTTGGAAATTCACCTCACATCCTATGAAGAATTCCCTTTAATCTTGATCTCAAGATTGATGAACAAACCCACAATATGATAATGATGGTAATAACAAGTAATTATCAAGAACAACAAAAGAGAAGAAGAATAACAAACAAGAAAGAGAAGAATGAGAGAAGAAGTATTTGGAGAGAATGTGTTACCCACAACTGTGGAATTTCTTAT